AACACAGTAAGTGAAGAGTTATGACTTAAGCACTTAAGGGTCTATCTTTTGGATTTAAAAAGTACAAACAGCTGTGCTTCTGACAAACTGCCCATGGAAATGCAGAACCTGGTAAGAAGTGAGATAGCAAAGGCTGTGCATGTGTGGTACAGGAGTTGGGGGTGGGGGGAATGTGAACTCAGTATACTTTTCTTAATAAAGTTGTACTTGAGCCCTTGACATTTTACATATTTAAGCTAGAAAAGGATGAAATGGCAACTTTTGCTTGGGACCCTAACATTATTCATTGTAATAGAACAGCCCACCAGCTTATTTTTATCCTTGAAGCAAGATGATATCAACTATTGAACTTTATTCTGATTTCAATTTCCCATAGACTAGACCATTCCTTTCTCTTTTGCTTTCTCAGTTTCTTTTATTTAGTCTTATTCCCTGGATGTCACCAACATTCAACCTGGAGGTGGTATAATCTCAACCCCAATCCAGGGTTCCCTCCAGACCAGACAGCCAGGAATGTGAACCTGAATGCTAAGTGGATTATGAACTCTTTGAAGTGGCAAAGAAAAAAACTGGTCTTCCACACCTCCTTGAAACCAAAGTCTTCAAATGACCTTGACCGTTCCTTTACTGATTTTCATACATCAGGTTCCACATTAAAACCCAAATGCAGTAGCTAGTTGGACCAAAAATCTTGGTTTGAGATTTCTGGAGCTGCCTAAGCTTTCCCAGAGCTATTTACATAAGGGAGTCTCAAAGCCACCAAAGCCACCATTAGACATCCTGGGCTGGTCAACCATTGTACACTAACCACACCTTTCCTGGGTTGGTTACCAGCCCATGGCACACCATGAATCATTATCTGGCAGCAATAAATACTCTATGACAGAGGGCCTTGTGCTATTGAAAAGCTGAAAAGACTCACTATATAAACTACAAGGGAACTTGAAACTGCATGAAAGATGAATAAAATGGCATTTTGGATAGAATTTCAGGTGAGCTTGAGTAGGTTAGTCCCAACTGACATACATACTTCTAAAAATTACTCTGAGTATTATTTCAAATGTACTGATACACAGTGTGTCTATAATTCACTTTTAGCAGCCCTCATCAGTGGCACTCTGTCAAGATCATGCCTATAATGCTTTAACTCTCTGCCAAAGGCTTTCAGAAACAAAAAAAACTAAAGCAGATGTTTAACATAGCAAATTGTATCTCTCTCCTTCTTGCTCCCATTTCCCTCTTGCTATTTTAATTTTCTGATACCCTACTTCTGATTCTGTTACTATCATTTGTTGCTTAACTTCCCTCCATCTCTTCAATCTCTCTCCATTTATTTTATTTTTGAATCTTATTCAAATTCAATTATCTTATTAAAGCTTTAGGGGACTAGTATGTTTAATTTCCCTACAGGTGCCTGAATTCCTTCATGACTAATAATGGTACAGTTACCTAAATATAAAATGTAGGCATCATCTTGAATGCCTCCATATCACTCATTTCCATGTCAAATTGTTCATCAGGCTCTTTTTATTCTCCTTTCATTTTATTATTTTCCCCCAGTTCATCACCCTTATTTTATTTTATTTTTTTGAGACAAAGTCTCGCTCTGTGGCCCAGGCTAGAGTACAGTGGAGTGATCTCAGCTCACTGCCACCTCCTCCTCCCCAGTTCAAGGGATTCTCCTGCCTCAGCCTCCAGAGTAGCTGGGACTAACAGGCACATGCCACCATGCCTGGCTAATTTTTTTTTTTTTTTGTATTTTTGGTAGAGATGGGGTTTCACCAAGTTGGCCATGCTGGTCTTTATCTCCTGACCTCATGATCTGCCCGCTTCGGCCTCCCAAAGTGCTGGGATTACAGGGGTGAGCCACTGCCTGCCTGGCCTTTTTATTTTATTTTTTAAGATGAAGTGTTTCACTCTTGTTGCCCAGGCTGGAGTGCAATGGTGTGATCTTGGCTCACCGCAACCTCCACCTCCTGGGTTCAAGCCATTCTTCTGCCTCAGCCTCCCAAGTAGCTGGGATTACAGGCATGTGCCACCATACCTGGCTAATTTTGTATTTTTAGTAGAGACAGGGTTTCTTCATGTTGGCCAGGTTTGTCTTGAACTCCAGACCTCTGGTGATCTGTCTACCTTGGCCTCCCAGAGTGCTGGGATTACAGGCATGAGCCACCATGCCCAGCCCATCACCCTCCTTTTAATCCTACTATATCTGCCTTAGTTCTCGCCTTCATCCTCTCTTGCCTGGACTCTTAGAATAATTCTTTCTCATTCTACTCCCATACAAGGCTACCCTCCCTCTGCTCCTTTAACCTCCTGTCATCCTGAGCATGTCATATCCCAGTTTTTTTCATTCGTTCCCTATAACCCAAAGATAAGAGTCCTAGCTTCCTTCCACTGCATGCAGTTTCTAAAACCAAGTCCCTACCTCCCTCTCTGTAGCCTCATCTGCACTGCCTGCTCATCTGCCAACCCACTGCAGTGATAGTGAACTGCCTCCATGCCAGTGAACCGCCTCCATGCCCCTGTGACTGCACACACTTGCCCTCTGCCAGGAATGCCTCGTATCTCAATGTCTTCTGGGTAAACTCTTTCCTACCTTCCATGCCCAGCTCAGCTGGCCTTCTCTGTGATGCTTCTGGTGATTACTGCTGATTACCTCCTCCTCTGTGCACTCATGGCCATTTGTTCCCACCCCTGTACCAGTACTGCTCATATTGTGAAAATTATTTGTATGTTGCCAACCCTACTAAACCTTTGAGAACAGGGAACCTATTGTATTCCTTTCATAGTCTCAGTGCCTAGCACATGTTAAGTATATTTGCCAAGCAAATGGATTAATGATTGGATAAATGCAGGATGTTATTTAAAAACCCTAAGTTGAGGAATGGACAGGTGATATATACACAAATATGAAAAAGCACATTCAGTAAATGGTAATGCTATGGTTTGGTGCAAAAGTTATTGCAGTTTTTTACCATTATAAGTACTATACTCTAGATGGTGGATGCTCATTGTAAAATTCTTTCAACTTTGCTGTATATTTGAAATGTTTAATTTTTTTCATAATGAAATACTGGCAGGAGGGGGACCATTACCTAAGCTTTGATAGTCAAAACAATTCTCAACATTCTATCTGTGGCCCATTTCATTCATAGAGATTCAGCTGAAAGACTGTATTTTAGATCCCAATACATCTCCCTGAATCCTGCTCTGGCCTGGGGTAGAAATGAAGTGGTTTTTCAGTAGTCTCCCACTATGAGTCATGGGAACTTGACTGTGCTGGAGGAAAGGAGATCCTCTTCTACTCTCCTACGTTAACCAGAAACTGCTCCTTCTCCAACTTTCTCATCAACTATTCCTTGCTAAAAGGCATTTCTTTTCTCCCTTGATCTGCTTCCTACAAGCCATAACAGATCACTTTTGCAATATTTTCACAGTAGAACCTCTTCTCTCTTTTCTTTTTTTTGAGACAGAGTCTCGCTCCCAAGGAGCTGTGACTACAGGCATGCACCACCATGCCTAGCTAATTGTTTTATTTTTTGTGGAGACACGGTCTCACTATGTTGCCCAGTGTGGTCTTGAATTCCTGGGCTCAAGTGATCCTCCCACCTCAGACTCCCAAAGTGCTGAGATTACAGGTGTGAGCCATCACACCTGGCCAAGAGATTTTTTTGTTAAGATAATTTAAAAGACATTTTTTTTCCAAGAAAAATACCTTTGTTTGTTATGGATTTTGAGCTCTTCTTAGAGAGGGAAAGCTAGATTTCCAGAATCTAAAGGGACAAAAAAGAAGTAGCAGTGAAGCCAGAGATTTTGCAAAATTTAAAGTTGTGATTTTGAATTAATGTAGCATAGGGCTATACTTCTTTGAAAGAGTTAATTACATGTGTAATAGATGCATTGTGTTGAGGCTTAAGTATAAATACAGACCATTTGCAAAGATGCAAGGTGTCCAGATCTTGTTATATAAAATCGCTTTCTTAAAACAAAAGTCCCAAGAAAATATTTTTAAATAGTGAATATAATTTTTAAAAATCCTTTGAATTACACAGAGTTGATCAAAAGGACTAGATCTCTCTTGAGGAGGTTTATAGACACATAGTTTTCATTTGAAAAGTATTAAAAATTATTTGACTATTTGTGATAGGTTTTTTTTTTAGGACCGTATAATTTACATTTGTGGCTTTAGATGTTGTTCATATGTATATATTTGATTCTGCGTCTAATTTCTTATGAGAAGGCAATCTGAACTTCTGGACTATGCCATATTTGTCTTCACATTCCTGATAATTTCTGTCATAGTGACTTGCACATAGTAGCATTCAAGAAATTTCTAATGAATGCTTAAATGAATAAAGAAAGTACTCTCACTTAAATAACAGATTTTAAAATGTCAGGATGGGGGGTGCATCTGCTGTTAATAAAGGGATTTCCCAATGTGTAAGAAACACAGAAATTCCAGAGCACAAAGACTTTTGTCCTCTTTTATAAACAGCTATATAATTATTTTTCTACTTTTTCACGATAAGAAAATTGGCACTTAAAATGCAAGTAGTTTCAAACATATGCTTTCATTGTTTGTATAACAAGAATGAATTTAAATCTTCAGGATGATAGAAATCCATTCTCATATCCAAAAAGAAACAGAAGTTTGAACTTCAAGAGTGGTTCATTAGACAACATCTCTAAAGTTCTAATATAAATCAAACATAGAATATGAGGCTGGATATGACCTTAGGGATTATCTACTCCAATTTCTTATTTTATAGATAAGTAAACTTAGCTCCACAGAGGTTAAGTGACTTAAAAAGGTCATAAAATTAGTTAAAAGGTCAGGAAAAATCTTTGGTGTCCTGATTGCAGTCTGCATATAAGCAGCTTTCACAAATGCTCTGCTCAAACCAGACTACAGTAGTGGGTTTATGGGCTCTTCAAATCTTGGGAACAGTAAAGTGAGTCATTAGAAACCACAGGCCCCTCCTCCATGGACAACTTACCTTCAGTATTAGAAATGGGGTTACTGTCACATTTGCTTTCACACTGCTGCATTGATGGAGGCCGAATAGTTTCTGGACAGTCACTAGATGCCTGTCCGGTGTAGGTGAGACACTGCACAGTTCTCATCTGCTGACCAAGGCCACACTGAGCAGAACACTAAATCCAAAGACAAAAATAAAATACTCATTTGAACAATTTACAGGAGGTAAAAAATATACTTTGTCACTTCAAATTCAACGTAATATTAACTTTTTTTTTTTTTTTTGAGACACAGGGTTTTGTTATGTTGGTCAGGCTGGTGTCAAACTCCTGGCCTCAAGCAATCCTCCTGCCTTGGCCTCCCAAAATGCTGAGATTACAGGCATGAGCCACCACACCCAGCCACAATATTAACTTTTAAAGCCCAGATGTAGTTCATCTTTGAGAGGTGTATGATTAGGTCATTATACTATCAAACTGGTTTGGATAGTCAAGGATCATGTTATTACTCAAGCAAATAGACTGAATATAGTTCCCAGGATATAATACACAGAGATTTCTTGGGCTATCACTCCAACAATTCCATGCAAGGCTGGTAAACTCTAGCAGGAGTGTCATGAGAAAATTCTTGTGATGAAGTAGAATAATGAGAGATTCTAGGGCCAGGAAATCATGATTGCTCCCCATTTATTATACGTGTGCAGGTAAATAACCTGATGGCTTGTTGGATTGCCTGTATGCACTAAAACTATTAGTTCAATATAATAGCAGTGGCGACTGTGGAGCCTACTGATGGGGTCAGTTAAAAAATAAATAAATAAAAATTTTGAAAAAGAGCTTGAATAAGTCCCTAAGGGATTGCCAGTCACACACATGTAGGGATTTCCACAATTTAAGGGATTGCCAGGTACAGAGAAGTAGTCTGTGTTCACCAATTAGCATGTTTTCCTCTCCTTTTGCATCTACTCTGGGATTCAGTCATTTCAGGATTGAAGTTGCTGTCTGAGAGACTTAAGTTTCAGTTGGGACTGATCAGCTGCTGAGGCTGAAGAATAAAGCTGGGTTGATCTATGGCCTGCCATCCAGAATACCAGAAAGCCATGAAATGTGGGATCAAAGCCATGAGGAAGTAACTGGTACCAGCACAGGGGATGGTGATGTTTACAGGATCAACAAATTGAAGGTCTGTTGGATTCGTTTGCAAAAACTCTGAATGCACCCACAGGACTTGTAAGGATATTCATGAAGAACCTTTAAAAAAGGTGTTTTCATACAGAATAACAAATAAATATACTATAAAATATATTAAAGCATCTTTGAAAATGTATTTTCACTGGTTATTCTGAATTTTAGGAAACTTAGTTGAAATTGTAAATGGGAAGAAAAGGACTTGACAACATTTAAAAGAATAATCAAATTGACAACTGTAAATTTGGCAAAATTACTAAAACACAAAAACTTCCAACTTTTATATAGTACACTGCAACAAAGAATATATAGAGAAGGAACTGCATGCCTGGTTTAAAATAAAAATCATGAGCATGTCTGCCCTGATTCTTTAATAGCATCATATTAATCATGTGCTGTGAAGCTGTCACACTTCTACAGTGAAACAATTTGACACTTAACTGCATACAGTGCTTAACATTGTCATGTGTATTCTACATGAGCATATTGTAAATTAAACTAAATACTGCTAGAGATACGTATAACATTACTTATTTTATGATTATATTTCTTTTTCTCCTCACAGGGCCGAGCACAGAGCAAGTATACTTAATTACCTTCATGGCTACTGAAAATCTTTGCCCTCTCTCAAATAAAAGAGGTGTCTAGAAATTACTGTACTCTGACAATATTGAATTTTAGCCAGAGTTTTGGCAACTACTTATATGAAATGCCATTTTTCATAGGTAATGGAAGGCCCAGAAAAAAAAATCATATTGGCATAAATCACAATGTGCCATTATGATTTACTTGGGTCTCAAATATTAGAAAATGACTAGCTATAAGGTCAGTTATGAAACTACAGGATAAGGGCATTGATTGGCTAGATATTTTCTTCCTGGGGAATTATTTTTTAATGTAGCCTAGTAGATTTCCTCCTTGACATTTAGAAGAACAATAGTTAATTTTCCTTCTATCTAAATATACCAACTGGGTCTTTTTATTAAGAATTTTTTTAAATTGGCAAATAAAATTATATCTGTTTATCATATATGACATGATGTTTTGAAGTATATACCCACTGTGGAGTGACTAAATCCAGTTAATTAACATATTACTTCACAAAGTTTTATTTTTGTTTTTATTTTTTATGTTTGCTGAGAACCGACTTGTTTTTATAGAATTTAAGGTGACCTACAGCAAGATAACACAATTTAAAAGTAGATAAGACAGAAAAAAGAAAAAATAAGAATTGGAACTTAAGGTAGAAATGAGTCTAATATAAAAATACATACCAGAATTCCTATATATTTACTTTCCAGTTCATAATGTATATCAAATAAAAACAGATCAATTGATGAATAAACATTAATAATATTTCAAAGATTATCAATCGTATTATCAAGCTAATTAAAAATCCCACAATTTTTTTGTGAGTTCAAGAGTAATTATCTCTATTTCACAAGTGGAAAGAAGACACTGTTGTTAACTGATTTGTTCCTTTATCAGTTGAGGGAGCTGGGACTAGAATCCCAAGTTTTGGTAGTTTGTTCAAATCTCTATCTGTTAGTCTATTTCTCTTTTAATTTTAACCTAACAATGGATCTGAAGAATAGAATCTAAAGTGGGAAGTTTGTGGGTGTGGGAGAATCATTGGCTCACTCGTTATGTGTCCACATGTGGCCTCTGTGGTTTGTGTACCGTTTCACCCTCATGCCTCATACCTTGACTTCTACGTGTTAATTCTTACTCATCTCCCAAGTCCTTACAATGATCATACAAGGAACCTCAGGTTTGGGTCTCAAGGAGCTATTTCTGCAGAAGCCCACAGTACAAATGCCTTACCTGGCCCCAGTCTCCAGTGACCCAGCGAGGAGGAGGGCAGCGGCCCAAACTGCAGCGAATGCGGACAGGAGGTTTGCCTTCCTCTGGACACTGTGCAGCTGAGAATGTCTTAGAAAGGTCGCTGCTCTTGCACAGAACAATCCGATGCTTGAATCCTGGACCACATTTTGGAGTGCACTGGAAATAAAACAAATCAATCACGACAGTTTAAAGACAGAGGAAAATTTGAGGAAAGTCTTTCTTCAAGTAAATGTGTTATAGTATAGAATATATGCATGTATATTATACAAAATCTCTCAGATACAAAATTCCTTAAAAGTTTTTAGGCAAAGGTATTTTCATCTTTTTCCTAAGTCTTTTAAGAGATAAATCCAACATTTGCTTTTCTTGGCTAACTCATTTTCTTGCTCTACTGGGGATAGGTTGATTCCTCTATTCTTCTCTATCCTTGGCCTCATTCAGCTGTGATAAGATTCTGCTAATTTTTGGAATGTGGAATCCTTGGTTTCCTACTTGGTGGGTGTGGTCTTCTAAAAAGAATTTGTATGTTGTTAGTAGACCACAAGAACTTGTCTCTGTGAAGCAAGTTCAGGGTTGATTTAGATAAACTATTCTTAGGTCTGGTTGCTAAGCATACTTGGTCACAGGTGAAGGTTTCTTGCACAGAAAATCTCTGGACTTTTCCCTGTCCATCAATTACAAATCTAAGGAAGTTGTTCATTAGAATTGGATCTGTTTGTTCTTGGTACTGAGGGAAGGATGCTTTTCCCTATGTCACAAATCTTATATACCTCATCTCCAGGTGTTTCTAGAAGTCACCTGTTTAACATGGTAGTTGACTGGAGTCTTCTAACTTTCTCCCCTGTATGTCTGGACCCTTTCTTAAAATCTGTATTTCCCCTCAATTAAGTGAGGACCTTAGCCAAACAACATTTGGAAGCACTGTATATGATGTACCTTTCATGAAAAAAACATTTCCAGATCTCCTACAGGAACCACACTAGACTGGGGAGATATAAAATGAATGAAATAGTCTCTACGCTCAAGGAGCTCAGAGTCTTATTTAGGAGACAGACATGGAAACACAGGTCAATGTTAAAAGTATCATATAAGTGTATGTAGAACACATAAATTATCATGCCCCTAACCCCATCAGCCTGTTTTATAATTATGTATTTCATGTCTTCTCATCTCTACTACACTATAAACTCCTTAAAATTACTCCATTTGTTTCATCTTTGCATGCTTATGAGCATGCAAACATACATGTGCGCATGCACACACACACACGCACCCCAGGATCCAGCTGAAGACTGAGTAAACACTCGATAAACATATGCTGTTCTTTTTCTGGAAAGGTGACAGTTTTGATTTACTGTTAGGTAAATCAAGATGTACTAGTTTTAGATGGGGATATCTAGGTGAACACCATATACACATACACGCAGGGGTTTTGTTAGGGGGCAATCTTTGAGCCTGATGTATGTCACAGAAAGAAAGTGTTAACATTTTTTTCAGGTGGAAATCAATTATTCAATGCAAACTCTTTATTACAATGAATATAATCACAGAATACATTTCCTCCAACTTAGAAAAGGTTTCATTAAGATGCATTTTGAAGGAGGATAACACAGTTTTTTCCAATACAGCTCCAGAAGAGGCTTTAGTTAGGGAGTGAAGATCAAGAGAGAAATTCCTGATTCCTGTTATTCCTCTTCACAGCCAAATCAATATACTCATAACCTGGTGCTGCCTCACTCTACCCATACAATCCATCACTAGGTCTTATTAATTCGATTCCGAAATCTCTCTCACACCTGTTGATTTCTCTCCATCTCTACTGCCGCTAACCTTACTTCAGACAAACATCATTTCTCATATGAAATTTTGTAATGGCTTTCTAGTAGGTCTCTTGTTTCTTCCTCTTGCCTCACTTAAATCTACTCCCTAAACTTCAGTCAGAGGGATCTTTCTAAAACACATATCCAGTTATACTGCCTTCTGATTAAAAAAAAATCATTTAATAGCTTACTATTGCCTTCAAGATAAAAATTCAAACTCTATATGTGCTTACTATACCACAGTAGTAAGGCCCTACTTACCTCTTGAGGTTCATCTCTCTATATGTCAGCCATATAAAATAATTTGCAGTATTCTCCAGTGTTAGCCCAGTGTCAGGCACAAAGCAAATAGTGTTGTTGCAGCTACAGTAACTACTACTACTGCTGCCACTAATAGCATCTATCATTTAATAAATACTGTATCTACCAAGTGTGCTAAATGCTATAATTTATATAGTCCTTACAACTCTCCTATTAGGTGGCAATTATTATTGTTTTTAAAATGGGAAAACTTAGAGTGACTGGTAAAAAGTCACACATATATGAAATGGTGGAGCCATTCTAATACTAATTCTGCTAAGTGTTTTCTGGATGTCAGGCCTGTACTATGTATGTACTTTGTATGTATTGTCTAATTTAATACAACAATCACTTATATTTCAAGAAACCAAGGAATGTGATAATTTCTGTAGCATGAAAAAAGCCCTAATCTAAGTCTTTGAGCTTGCCTCAGTTGTGTCTAGTCCATTTCTATCTCTTGAACTTTTTCCACTTATTTTAATCTACTTCATGCCAAGTCTCCTCCACTGTTCAAACTGAAGACTTACAGGATTTCTGCCACTCTCTTAACGCTTAATATTATCATTGATAACAATAACACTACTATACTACTTTCCATTTCATTAAAGATTAACAGTTCAGAAAATACTTTTAAAGACAATATTAAACATTATTAAACAAATTTTTAAGAATTATTAGAGATGAGAAAAGCTTAAGAGACTTCATTAAAGATAAACAGCAAAGGTTAAAGCTGGAACTAAATCCTAGGCCTTGTGACCATACTTTAGGGCCTACTCATTATCCATTTCTCTGTTATTACTGTATTCACAGGCTGTTCTTAGTATTGGCAAAAACAAACTCATGACAATACATAGTAAATATAAATTATTATCAAAATGAGTTGAAGTATAAAAGGATACAAGGCCACTTCATCCTTACATTAAGCAAAAACATAGGATTTATAGGGAACTCAGTTTTTGTATTTTGAGGCTATGATTAATTTTCTAATGGGATCGTTCATTGAAAAATCCACTTGTGCCACTCCCCTGCCTCCTTCACATTTTAAAATCATGTGTATGTGTATTAAAGGCTGGGACATACATCTCTTGTTTATGCTAATAATTTTTTCCAGTGGCAAGAAGCTTCTATTATTATTTTAAGAATGTAGTAATATCTAGCTGCCTTTTCTAAAATTATTTGTCAAGTTGTGCTTACCATTAGTAGAGACAAAGAACACAAAGACAATTCATTCATCTCCTTCTAAGAAGTCCCCAGGAAACCCAAACCCAAAACCAAACCAGGCATGGTGGCTCACACCTGTGAATTCCAGTGCTTTGGGAGGCAGAGGTGGGCAGATCATGAGGTCAGGAGTTTGAGACCAGCCTGGCCAACACAGTGAACCCCCGTATCTACTAAAAAAAAAAAAAAAATTAGTTAGGTGTAGTGGCATGTGCCTATTGAGCCAAGACCATGCTATTACACTCCAGCAGCCTGGCCTGGGTGACAGAGTGACACTCCATCTCCAAAATAAAAATAAAAAAAGAAGGATAAAAAGACAAAGCAGCATTAATATTTATTGTATCATGTATTGTTCTAAATCCTTGTCATGTAATAATCTACCTAATCTTCATAGAAACTCCATGAAGTGAGTACTGTTACACATCCATTTTACAGGTGACGAAACTGAAGTGCTAAGAAGTATAGACAAATCCCGATGGCGGTTTTCTGCTAAAAATAAAGCTCTGAAAGATAAATGCAAAAAGACTAATCCTCTGTAGAACAATATGCAATTATGTGCAAAGCTAAACATATAATGACACTTAGGCAAGAAATCATTTTAGAAAAATTAAATCTCAAAATTTACTACTTTAGTCAAGGATATTTTATCTTATCGCAGCAGAGGTACAGAGATTTTCAACCAGATTTTCAAGATAGCAAATGAACTGAAAATCAACTAGATTTTCCAAGACAGCAAATAACTAAAAACTACATTGCTGCCACATTTGTTACTCAGTGAATACACCAGGCTTGAACTCTGCAGATCCAGCCACAATTATTACGTGTACACAGCCAGAATCTCAACTCTGGTCTCTGTAAATATTGTACTTCTTACGGGTGATTATAAAATTAAATGTTTAAAAATTGGTTGTAAGTATAGTAAAGGCACAGGGATGCCACTTAAACCTAGTTTATTTAAGTAGAACTCTAGCAAGTCCTTCTGACCTTACGTCAGAGATGTTCAAGCAGAGATGTCCTTAGTTTGTTTTTATATTTACTTATTCTTTCTGCTTTCTTGAGCCTAAATTTCATTTCCCCCTCTTTACTGATAATACAGTATCCTTTCTTTATCCGCAATTTCATTTTCCACAGTTTCAGTTACCAATGATCAATGGAAGTCTGAAAATAGATGAGTACAGTGTAGTAAGATATTTTGAAAGACAGGTTACATTCACATAACTCTTATTATAGTATGCTGTTATAATATTTTAATTTTATTATTAGTGTTAATCTCCTACTGTGCCTAATTTATAAATTAAACTTTATTATAGATTTGTATAGATAGGAACAAATATATAGTATATATAGGGTTCAGTACTATCTGCAGTTTCAGGTATCCACTGGGAGTCTTAGAACATGTCCCCTGTGTACAAGGGGGGACTACTATCAATGTGTTTGTCCATCTCAAGACCTCTGTTTTATTAGCTATGTAAAAATAAAAACAAGTATTTCTAGAAAAGTAAGATGAATCACAGTTATATATGTGACTACTAGGCATTAACTTAATTATGAATGCTTTGGAGTGTTCTCTAGAGATAATCATTGGCCTATATCCATGCAAAGAGTATGTTTTTGCATAACTTTTGAGTGTGCAGTAAGATCTATTAGTAATAATTAGAAATTGGAATGCTTAGTTCAATGATAAATTTTTTTAGATTAAAGAATACTTATAAACATCAAAATTCATCTCACTCTTTCTCATAATAAACCTTTAGGTAGCGGGGTAGAAGATATTAATTCAGTGGTGAGCCTATTCTTTAGTAAAATTATTCCTCATTA